GAGGATGGTTGGGCAAAAGACAATTTCAATCAAAATAGGGTAAATTTTATATTTTTAAATAAAAAATAAAAATTTATCTCTTAATTCAAAAATATAAAAAAAATTCTTATCTTTAAATAAAAAATAACAAAATTTATATTCTTATCTAAACATTTTCTCTTTAAATTTGGTGGCTAGTTAACCCCCTAAGTCTACCTTAAATTTAACTAAACAACCTTACTTAGTCTCAACACCACATATATGGTTAGAGATGGCTACGAGCCTCAGTCTTGAAAAACCAGAATTGTCATCTTCCCCGAAAGCTTGATTGTGAAAATACATGAGAAACATCGGACACATGAACATGCTTAAATAAAAATGCGTATATTTATGTTAGATTAATACTGAAACGTACCGGCATGGGGCTGTGGCCGCTGACTGATGACATCAAAAGGTACTGGTCAAGAGAACATACAGGGATCAGGATCAACCGATCAAGATCCGGATTATTCCAACTGTCATGTTATTCTCCACATGAGATGGTGCCATAGTGGGGTATAATTATAATTAGAATAAAGATTTTTTTTGGTAGTATAATTAGAATAAAGATGCTTTTTGCAAAATTATGCATAGAGCCTTCTATCAATCACATCAGTGCTACTAGTACTAGACCTGCTTTTTCATCATCAAAGACTTTGTTGATACTGCTTGTAGCACACGATGCTGCCCTCAATCATCTAGTTTATATACTTCCCCTCCTACTCTACTTCTCTGCAACAACACCATTACTTCCTCCTCTTTCTTTGATTTCTCTCCCCTTCTATCAAATGGAAATCAAGACTCTCTACTTCCTCCTCATGTTGCTAATTCTTGTGTCGTATCCTTCCCAAGTCATTGGTGCCAACCAGTCACAGTTCTTCACTCTCATGAAATCATCTCTATCAGGAAATGCCCTGTTTGATTGGGATGTTGCCGGAGGGAAGCCTTGCAATTTCACAGGCATTAGCTGCAATGATAGAGGGTATGTTGAAAAGATGGACATGTCTGGGTGGTCTGTATCTGGCAATTTTCCAGATGATATATGCTTGTATCTACCAGAGTTACGTGTTCTTGATCTCGGCCAAAACCAACTTGGTGGCAATTTCATTAACAGCATGGCCAACTGCTCTCTCTTGGAAGAACTCAACATGCAAAGTGTTTACCTAAGAGGAGAACTTCCAGATTTCTCCAAAATGAAATCTCTGCGCAAACTTGACATCTCATACAATCTCTTTACAGGTGATTTCCCCATGTCGATAACTAATCTTACCAATCTTGAGGAGATTAACTTTAATGAGAATGATAAATTGAACTCATGGCAACTACCGGAGAACATTTCCAGGCTGGCAAATCTCAAAGTTATGGTCTTCACAACATGCATGTTGTATGGTCAGATCCCACCATCAATTGGAAACATGACATCCCTTGTTGATCTCGAATTGGCTGGCAATTTCTTCACAGGTCGGATTCCTACAGAGCTTGGAATGCTGAAGAACTTGCAGCTGCTTGAACTATACTATAACGACTTTTCTGGAACCATACCTGGGGAACTGGGAAACCTGACCGAGCTTACGGACGTGGACATGTCAGTTAATAGCCTGGTGGGAAGCATTCCAGGGTCTCTATGTAGGCTTCCAAAACTTCAAGTACTGCATCTTTACAACAACAGCCTCACAGGAGAAATCCCAAGTGCAATTGCAGAGTCCACAACCCTGACAATGCTCTCACTATACGACAATTTCCTTACAGGGCAAATTCCACAAAATTTGGGGCAATCATCACCTCTAGTTGCTCTAGACTTGTCCGAGAACCATCTATCCGGTCCGCTGCCAGCGGAAATCTGTCGGGGAGGTAAATTGCAGTACTTTCTTGTTCTTAAAAACATGTTTTCTGGCCAGATCCCGGACAACTATGCAAACTGCGAGACTCTTCTACGGTTTCGAGTTAGTATGAATCGTCTGGAGGGATCAATACCACAAGGGCTTCTAGGTCTCCTTCATGCCTTCATCATTGACCTGAGTTACAATAATCTGACTGGTTCAATGCCAAATTCAATTGAAAATGCAAAGAACTTGTCAGAATTGTTCATACAGAACAACAAGATTTCAGGTGTCATACCGCCTGAAATTTCCCAAGCTATCAATCTGGTGAAGATTGATCTAAGTAACAACCTCCTGTCTGGTCCAATACCTTCAGAAATTAGCAATTTGAAGAAGCTAAATTTATTGATGTTGCAAGGTAACAAGCTTGATTCTTCCATTCCCAACTCACTTTCCTTGCTCAAATCTTTGAACGTTCTTGATCTCTCCAACAACTTCCTGACTGGGAATATCCCAGAGAGTCTCTGTGCTTTATTACCAAACTCCTTAAACTTTTCAAACAATAAGCTTTCCGGTCCAATTCCTCCGCCATTGATTGCAGGAGGGTCAGTAAAAAGCTTTTCAGGCAACCCAGGTCTCTGTGCTCCAGTCCATGTTCAAAATTTTCCCACTTGTTTGCATACTTCCCAGCAGAAAACACTAATTTACATCTGGCCAGTTCTGCTTACAGCCCTTTTGACTGTTGTTGGAGTACTCTTGTTACTAAAACATTGGTACAACAAAGAAAGAGCTGTGATAGAGCATGATGAGACCTTGTCTCCATCCTTCTTTTCATGTGAGGTAAAGCACTTCCATGAAGTATGTTTTGATCAGCGTCAAATCCTTGAAGCGATGGTTGATAAAAACATTGTCAGCCATGGAGGATCTGGCACAGTTTATAAAGTTGAACCGAAGAGCAGGGAGGTTGTTCCAGGACCAAATTCATCAAGCAAAGCTTGTAACTGATTTAGGACAGGGCTCTGTAGTAGATGTGGCAAAGACTGTTTTAGTTACTAGAGTTGTTAAGTGCATAGTTCATCTATGTTTCCACAATATATAAGGGTGTGTTCTGAATAATTCTTCCTCTGTGTTTTCTCTTCTCATGTGTCTTTGTTTCCCAATTGTATAGTGCATATCTGATGAAACAAAAAGTTTTTTTTTTTTAAAAAAAAAAAAAAGGAAAAAAGAAAGAAAGGAGAAGCATCAATATATTATTTGGACAACTTAAGCAGAACAAGACATGTGCACATGGAAAACAAGGGTGCGTCTCTCCCATTTTAAAGCCATTGCATGAGGCACTATCAAGTATAAAAATACTCATAGATCTACGGGGACATTCTAATCATTCCTTGAAGATGAAACAAGAAAACAGCCACCTGCGTATGGGGAATTGCTGGTGCACACCGAGCATATATTTTAGTGTTCCAACTTTGTGAGTGGTGCTGGGTCCTCCTAGCAGAATGACATTCATGAAGAAAATGCATTTTCTGTTGGCAAGGTGGAGAGTCCATAAATTAAAGTAATCAATGGAATTGTTCTCCTATATTAAAAAATATATATATATCAAATTATCTTGAAATTAAGTTGTATAATATATAAATGAAGTAAATAAAAAAAAATAAAAAATAATTATTTTTTATTGTACAACCTCAAAAAAATATTAATTTACTTTGCTTTCCTCTGTCAAACATGCACACACACCAAAAAAAAAAAAAAAAAAAAAAAAAAAAATCTTTGCTTGATTACTTCAACAGATGAATATTTGCTTTGATCTTATCTCCATGGCAAAGTAGCCAAAGCATTATTGGAAGAATATTACTG